ATTTACACACTCACCTAATTATACCGATACTATCAGCATTCGTTAGGGCAATCAATCATTGTCCTCTGCATGAAATGCATGCAGACATCGCTTTCAATTCGTGAGGAGGCCTAATAGATAGAGACGCCTAATAACATAGTGTGCGGCGAACTACAAACAGAGGATAACCTCCAGCCAGTGATGCTCTCTCAGCTCCACCGCCGTATGTGCCTACATTCTGCATACCACACCGGTCACCTTCAAGGCACCACATACTGAGAGGACACGCCGAGAAAATGCTGCATCAACAATAGCGCGATTATGAGTGCAGGCCAGTAATGAACTAGGCCACATGATTGACCGGGCCTTGGCGGCTCCAGGGTCGCTGGAGAAAGAATTTGATAATTAAATAGAACGGCTTGATTATCATTTAATCATAAACTTAGATGTGTCAGGTCAACTTGCAATTTACCGTCCCGTTATTTTTGCATAGAGGGAGTAAGGAGGTTTAAATGCAGCCCGTTGTTGCTGCCCAGTCCAGACCAATATTCTCATAATACGATCGCATTAGCTACCCGGTACCCTTCCCCGGATGACAGCCGTCCCAGTATCATGGCCGTCCCACTGCCCCGTCACCCGACCCGTCTGTTCCAGTTTTCCGTGACCGTCTGCAGTCCTGTCACATGTGTCAGGGCCGAAGACGGTCGCTGCCACCACCGCTACATCTCCTAGGAACCAGCCCCTAAAGCTATACCCACCGGCCTCTCCGGCCTCTCCGGTGGGCGAACAGCTACCACACGTAATCAACTAGCTAGATTTAGTCGCGTAAAACGGACGCTGATTAAAAGCAAACATTAGGGGAAGTTGGGGGAACGCCGAATACTTTTTTCTGACGCCCGTAGCACGCAAGGTAGACAACATAAGCTATTCTTGTTGGCGTCATTCGAGAGGCCAGTCTTTTGCCTTTCAAACATACCAGGCGCATTTGATGAATTCGCATTCCGTTAAGCGCACAAACTAAAAATATCAAAGAAGTGACTTTTTTCGGCGTTGCCCCGGACTGCGGGAAAGCCGAAAATGGGAGAAATGATCTACGGGGAATGCTGAAATTGATGTTTTGCCATTTCATCTCAAACTTTATCCAGAATTCATCAAAGCTGACACTTTTTTATTAGTTTGAGGACGCTTGGTGCACACTGGAAGTTATAATTGTGTGATATAATAAGAAAAGGCCAGGTAAATCATTCCTTATAGGAAACAGGCCGATGTGCCGGTTGAAAGTGTAATTTGTGTGACTAAAAATATGCGTTGCTTTTCTACAGCAGTAAAGTCCACGTAGCGTGCTTTAACGTGCGTAATTGCACGTTTTCGGCATTACCCCAGCCAGCCATACTTTCATTTCCAGGCCCATAACTTTTCAACGTGCTGTATGAATTTCAAATAGGCAGCACACTTATGCAAAGACATGCTGAAGATTACTTGACCGAATTGGCCAGACAAACGGTAGCATAATGAGTAAGAAATGCTGCTTGAAAGGCGCATGTAGTACAAGGAAAACGTACCTTGAAAACGCTCTTGGCGCCCTCACAGCCGAAGTATTCCGAATGACGACTCGTAACAAACATGCGATAATTGGTAGTCACTTAAAGGTAGTGTGCCAGCTTTCTTGGACCATATGGAGTTAATGACCCGGATAAGGAGAACCGGATTTTTAGAACTTATCCATACCTTCAAAACTTATGGAAACGTCTTAAATTCTTCAAATTTTGAGTACCCCAGTGCGAAATTCGCCCCGACGGGTTGTCGGTCGTACCCCAACCACATTTCACACCACTATGAACAATAAATGCACACACTAAAATCGCTATTACCGATAGGCTCATCCAATCAAGTTTCGATAAACCCGTTCATCATCATCTCCTGCGGTTTCAAACACGCCTGTTAGGTGGCTTCTGATGCTCGTCGAGGTCGGAATTTCCAAATACGCGTGGTGCGTCGGGCCGCGCGCTCTGACTTCGGCCAAGAAAAATGCGTCAGCTGATCATTGTCATTTCTGCCACTTGCGTGTGGTGTAATGGGGTCATAACTTAAGAGACGGCTGTTTCATATCAATTATTTTACATAAAATCATATTTTAAACCACAAATTAATGTTCGACAGCCAAATTTAAGAAACAATACCAATACAGGCTTACAGTTTAAGGCTCGACATTGAGTTGTCTACGATTAGACAGCTGATAACTCATTCCCGTACGTCGTATGGTCGTAACACTATAATGACCTTTGCTTATTGTCACAAGTGCGCCGCATTCGCGATTGTTGCCCGACGCCTGTTTGCAGGTGAGCCCACTACAGTTGTTATACATATCTAAAAACCGATAAACTTTTAGGCGAAAAAGGCACTATTCCAGGCCCATTTTTGATTTTTTTGCGATATTAGGTAAAAATAGAAGCTTCTTATCCTAGGAAAAATAAAACGGGAAATCTTTCAAAGGTGGCACACTACCTTTAAGCTTCAGAGCATCACTGACAGGTGGCACCCATGTCGTACAGTTTTCGAAATATCTCGAATTTCGGCTTTGCCCCAACTCCTGCATTGCCCCAACTTCCCCTACGCAGTTTTCACTCAATTAGTTCATTTGAAATAATGTTATGGCTGAACATTTGTCTAAATAAGGGGCAAGGGCGATCAATATCTCTGCGATTAATGGCATGATCAGCACCATGTGGATTGTGGCTTACATCCGCCAGTAAATTATATGTGAGCCGTCATGCCACGATTCAATACCAACAAACCGCTTGACAACATGCATCCTACTGATGATCCGTCTATTGGAGTCTGGCCGTGCCGCTATATCAACCGCTGACATGTTTATGGCAATGTTTGTCAAGTGGCAAAGTTCGCCAATCCGGGAGATCAAACTCACGGCTATATTAGTCCGCAGGCCCAGTGAGCCATCCATTTGCCGATGATGGTGGATGAACTTCAGCGGCAGCGAGGGGGAGGCGGAGGGGGAATGGACGGTTCTTCCCATAGCTGACTGATGAGCGAGTGCAAAATTATCAATTTGTTTTACATGTAAAAGTAAGATGAATACGTTTTGAAGCGCTTCAAAAGCATGCTCGCCGGTGCCCCAGTTCGGATTCCATTCGAGTACCAACAAATATCATGGGAACACCATGTCCGAGGTCCCGTTAGCGGGACCAGCGAAGCATTTTGAATTTCTACGTCCCATGCACATCATGGTTCGATGTTTACACGTCAATGTAGATTCCATGACAATCCAGCCCCATGACAATTCATGACCGAAAGGACAATGCACTACGCAGTATGCAGTGTCCCAGCTGAAAGGGTCCCTCCCTGCCGCCATCCCGGGCGCTGTACGAGTATGGTGTCTGACACCGACCAGCCTCGGTCGTCGCCGCCGCTCCGCCAGTGCCGCCACCCATTTCCGGCGAGCTACATCGATTGAACTGGCTGTTTGCGGAGCGGGGGAGCCGGTACGTGGGTGCCGGGAGGGACGGGGCGGGGGCAGGGAGGAGTGCGTGGGTGGGAGTGAGGGGCGGGGCAGAGACGGCCAACATGGAGGCTGATTGGACCAGTCTCGGTGCTGGTGCTCAGAGCTCGTCCGACGGCCACAATATCCCAATCTGGTTCAATGTTCACCCTCATGTGAAACAGCGATCTATAGCGACCGCGTTCCACCCATCCGCGGAAGAAAGGCGACCAACGCCGGGCCGAATACCCTGTGTAACTCCAGTCCAAGTACACCGCCCATCCCTGCCCGCCCTCGACTCCCCCGACCCTTGGTCTCAGAGTTCGGGGCAGATCGCTGCTGCTGCCGGTATTTCATGAGAAGAACAGTCGGCTGCTTCCCACCCCACCCGGTAGCAGCTTGAGGTCACGGTCGTGCTACCTATCTTCGAGACCGCAGAGCACGCACCGACGTAAACAGTATGTATAGGGATGGTTGGTGACGGTACGGTCTTCAGGACGCCAATGAATAGTTGTTGAATGCTGATGATTCAATACAATCAAGCAGTGCCATTTATCTTTGTTCATGGCGAATGAAAATAGACGCACTTGATGGGAAAACCATAGTACCCTACCCTTAAAATAGATAGATGAATACATTGATTGAGTTGAGCCGTCCTCAAGCCCCCGAAACATGTCATGCTCGACGGCACAGGCCACTTTTTCATTTCTTATCGCGGACAACTTACGCAGTTTATGATACACCACCAGCAGTCAGCGACAAAGTCCAATGACCGGGTCAAATAAAACACGGTCAATGATGATATCACGCGACTGATTTCGAACCCGGCACGATAAACCGTGATAGCCACGACTCGCACCTTATTGTGGTGACTACAGAGTATTCTGGTCTCAGTAACCAAGACGCATGAACACAGGCACAGTCACGGTAACCCCTACCATCTCACTCCTGCGACTCACTCACTCACTCACTCACTCACTCACTCACTCACTCACTCACTCACTCACTCTCTCTCTCTCTTTTCCTCCCCCCCTCTCTCTCACACACCCTCAGCCTCTGACCGCCATCTCTCGGGTACCCTCTCCCCCCTCCATGGGGAGACCCCGAGGCGGCTCCTCAGACTGCGTCCCAATGGCCCCCCGCGGACTAACGCTGATCGAATGCCGCCCGGGGATCAATGGAATGACACACGGCTGAACGCTATAGACGAAATGATGCATACATAGGCACAGCATATCGAGGTAGGAGGTTATGCATTGGAAGGCAGAATTACGTGAATGTGGGAAACTTTACGGATGACAAGTCAAGAATGCCTGATAAAAAATAAACCTGCAAGTAGTCTAGAGCTTTATCTAACTAGTTATGGATTTATGGTGGTTCATGAAAGTCTGTCTTATTTCTATCAAGTATTCTGCATATAGGATCAGCTAATCTCCTGAGCCCACTAAGCCATGAGCAGAAAGCATTGAGCCCTGAGGCGCTGCAAGTACGCTGCAGCCCGCAGCAGGAGAGCGTGGGTCCTTACCTTTTTCAGGTGGAGGCTGAGGAACTTGAGCTCCTGGTAGAGGCCGCGCAGGTGGCGGCTCGTCTCGGCTGTCGTGTCTGCCAGCGACCTGTACAGGAGGAGAAGGTCAAGGGTCAAGGGTCAAGGTCAAGGTCAAGGTAAAGGCCACGGGCGGGTGGGTGATCGCTGAGTGGTTGCATTAATTCAACGGACAGTGCAATAGTGATTGCGGTGATGCATGATGCAAAACCTTCCAGTGTCTTGTGTAAGATGTCCACCGAACATGAGATCAAAGGCGATTTCTTCAAGTTTAAGCACAACTGGTCGACTTTTTCTTTAATTCCATTTTTCCCTCTGCCTTCGAGCCCATTCCTTTTGCTAATTTCTGTTTTACCCGCTACCCCATTCTCTGCCATAAGTCTCATTTACAAATTACCATCCTCTTCCAACACCACTTGTTCCTAACAATCCTCCCCCATCTGGCATCACTCCACCCCTCCACTCGCTCCAACTCCCACCCCACACCCTCCTCTCCCACTCCAACTCCCTCCAACCCTGCCCACCCCCACACACGTCAGTAGACGCGATCAATGTCAGATCAGGCTCTATTTTTACCTCGGCTCGCCGCCGCAGCAGCCCCAGCCCCGGCGCGCTCGGGCGCCGGTCATCAGCTGACCGCTCGGCCATCAGACATGCATGCGCGTCCACTGCCCGCTCGAATATATATCTCGCCGATTGCAGTCGTCCGTTATCTTAGTGGCTAGAGAGGAAAAACGGAGCAGGACGGCGCGGTGGTGGAAAAGGAACGGGCGCGGCGTTGAGATGGAGATTTGCTGGGGCGGCCCGTGAGCCGGGCGCTGAGAGGAAATTGGAGTTTATTTCTGTTTCTGGACGCGTCTGTTTGTGTGGGTTGACGATGGGATGTAACGGATTGCAGCGCTCTGAAATCAAGAAATTCATTTGTCGTTTGCACAAATATTCTTTGTAATACGCAAAGTGTGATGTTTCATTTACAGAATAATACCACCGGTAAAACCAGGTTCAAAATGAATAGCTTGGCCGCCTGAGTGGCTGATAGCTTGAAACTGACAGCCAGAAAATCGTATCAGACTGCCTGAATGCTAAACCCTGACTAGATCAGACACTGAGCACACTTTTAATGATATCCCTGACTGACACGTTACTCTGGGGAATTCCTGAGTCGCGACGATGGATGTCTCACTGGGCATGCAGCAATACACCACCACTGTGTTCAACAACACTGTCGCCTGCTGTCGCCAACCTTGACCACCTAGGGTCACTCTCGAGTTCGAACGGAGTCGCTGTGCTTTCCAAAGGATTCTCTGACATTCTGGTGGCCTACTGTGACATCTGGGAATGTCACCGCGTCTCCGAGAGAACCCACTCGATCAGGGAGCTTTCAATCTGCCCGACCAACACCGGACGCGCCCGGGCTTCTACTGACATTTTACAGGCTCAGCAGAGCGCCCTCTCCCGATCTGGGTCACTGGATTAGGAGCCAGGATTTTAGTTTAATCGGTTCACTTCGACCTCACGAGATCGTATGAACGCACCACTGGTCGCTGACCAGCTTACACGTATGAAAGGTGTTCGACAGAAGATAGTTATTAAATGCCTACTTGATTCCGAATGACTAATGATCTTCCGAGATAAGTTAGCTCTTTCTGCTCAAGTTCGACAGCTACATTACAAAATAATGAGCGCCTGATTGAAGTTAAGACAGGAAAATTATGGTGGGCAAAACTTGTTCATTAGGGCAATGCTCACACCAGGAAATTGCCATACGGTTAAAGCGTCGGTCAAAATGACATTCGGTTACGATTGGGAGATACTTTCCATGTAACTTGATTAAGTTTCGCAATGTTTCTAATTATTTGTTTGCACTATTATAGAATCAAATTATTTTCTGCGACGCAGTGAAAAACTGTGGCTGCAAGCTCCCATTACAGTTGAGGCTCTGTGCCATTATACTGCTAATTTTGCTGCTGCAGCCCCATTAGCCGATTTTCCAGGCATCTGGCGCACAAGATTACCAAGCAGCAGCTGTTCCGTTCCACCGGCATGTCCAACCGCTCCAGTGCAGTGAGGGCTCATCCCGCTCTTCTGTAAACCCCCACTCTCGGCTTCAGCAAACCCCTCCGCTCCCAACTCGAAGTGGCGAACTAATTTGACAAAGTTTCCAACCATCCTCTTCTCAGTCAACAAGGAAACAGAGACCAACACGAGTTGTAACTAACGCCGAGGAATTTATGGTTGGTTAGCGAGCATCCAACGACTAACGCTGCGCCCTGCGAGGTGGTTGACTGTGAAAAAGTCATGCAATACGCAGGACACCGCGCAAACGCGCCTCAAATAAACTCGGGCGAGCTCACCGAATACCGACTATCCGTTCCACTGCAAGGGCTTTCCGCCCCATCTACAGGGAAGCAGTTCTGCTTTTTTACAGGTGATTCCCGAGCTCGCCTCAGAGTTCCGGGTGCAAAGTTGAACTGCCGCGGTCGGAAGTTTGCCCGCTGCGGGCCGGTTGGTGCCGTGCAGACCATTGGCTGCGCAGCGCTGAGTTTTGAAAGGGTGTCGGGAGCAGCCGGGTGCAGGCATAGCGATTCAGGCAGGAAAGAAACGCAGCTAACAATGGTGAGCTCAAACGGACCGCCGCGCCGGGCCGGAAAACGTTCGTACATTTTGGATGTGCTTAAAGTGATAGATGCCTGAAAACATGTTTAATTGATGACTTATTGTAAGACTAAAATCAATTAACGAACTGGATTTATCTTGCTTGATTAGCCCAAAGGCAGCTAACATTTAGATACAAGCAAAGTTTTGATGATTCTTTTCAACCTTTAAATAGCATTTCAAGGACGATGGGACCTTAAGGAGTCACCAGTCTCAGCGAGTTCACGCTATGAGAGTGGCTCTCGCCCACTGCGATGCACGCACAGATAGCCGCCTCTCGGCGTTATCTGTGAGAGCTCTGACACCCGGGCCCTCTCAGGTAGCGGTGAGCGCCGGACGTCTCCAGAGACAAAGGTTAATGTCGACCTGTTCAGTGCTCACCTATAGGTCTCAGTGGAGCGGACCGGAGCAAGGGACCGGGGAGGGAGGGGAGACACGGGTCGAGAGCCACTGCAGAGCCTGCCGCGCACGGCGCAGCACACAACGGATAGGGAGCGGACGAGAGGCCTCGAGAGTCGAGCAGCGCCGTAAGAGGATCTGGGAAACGGGAGGAGTTGGACGGGGAGAGTCAACAAGCAGCCCCGGTGAAAAGATGAGAGGTTGACATAAACAAGAGCCCTGCTTCAATCAGTGCCTTGTTAGGCGACTGTGGCACATAATTTATACAGCATCTTCAAAGAATTAACAGGAGAGTCGTTCGTTAGCATTGATGCCGACCAAACACCATCTCGCACTAACGAGAAATTAACCAATACCGATCGAAGGCCACAACACAGGCCATCGTGAATCCGGCTGCGCCATTCCGTCCGATAAAACAGCCCATTCCCGGGTGCGTTGCACTTTCTGACCGCCGTTATGGAAGACACCACTCTGATCTCTTCCGTAATTAACGGCACCTTACCGACACCTAGCCGAACCGGCCGAACGGACGGTCGCTGGGCGACGGTTCACTCAGGGTAGTGGGCAACGGCTGCAGCTGAGAGACCCACTCTATATAAGCTCCCTGTCTGCTTCAGTAGCGTTGGCAAGGCCCCGGTTCATTGTAGAACCAGCACTGTCAGAAATATAGGCGTCTGAGACGGGTATACGCCCTTCACAGGGTCTCTCAGACGGAGGGCGTGGTAGACATCTATGTAACAGCTGACAAGTGGCGGAGCAGGGCGGCTCAAAGGGACGTCGCATCGTGACGTCGTATCCAGACAAACGGATGACGGTACAGTTAGTCTGCATGCAGGCCACCGTTACGTCATATCCAGCCAGGACTTGTTCAGTTCGTAGAACTGAAGTACGACACCACATCCAATTCAACCGTATGCACAAAATACGAGACCGTTATATCCGGCTTAATTTAGCTTTTAGAGTACACAATATTATGCATATTATTATACACATGCACAATATATTATGCGATCTGAGGATCTCCTCAGATCGCTCGTGGCTAGCTTATGTCTTTTCTGGCATCGTCTCCACGCTCAGGATTCTACGTAAGAGGCTCAGTGTAGCGAGTAAAACATTTCGTGCTGCTGGCCGCTGCATCCGTTTAACAGGGCACGCGAGGAACGGGATGAGAGGGCAGGCAGTCCAGTTTTCAATTCGACGGTCTCTGGTAAAATTTCAAAAGAGATTGTCAAACGCAGAGAGGGGAGAGGAGAGAGAGAAGAGAGAGAGAGAGGGAGAGGGAGAGGGAGAGGGAGAGGGAGAGAGGCCGCTCCCTGTGGAGAGCATCCGCTGTCACTCACGTGACGCCGGCGGTGTCCTGTCCGAGCTCGAGGATGCGCGGCCGCGCCTGGATCTGATCCCGCAGGTATCCCACCGAGGCGTGGATCAGACGAATGTGACGCGACACGTTCATCATCAGACCCACGGCGTCGGGACACCTGTGGACACAAGTCAGCGGGGGTCAACAAAGGTCACATCAGGGCATCCACACGGGTCAGCAGAGGCCAGCAAAGGCCACATCAGAAAACCTGCTGACACACACAATTAAGTCACATAAACGTTGACAAAATATCGCATCAAAAAACCAGCAGACACTCACAATTAAGTCACACATACGTTGACAAAATAAAGTCAAGGTTTCGTCAAGACACCATTAGACAAACAAACACACAGGTCGATCGAGGTCAGCTGAAATCAAATTTGGAGACCTGAGTCTGATGCATAGCAATGAGATCACAGCAACGCAAAAAGGCCGATCTAATTACTGATTCGAAAACCAATCCGAGGAAAGTAGCGAGGAAAGCCAATAATGGTTAGCAGGAGTCTATGATGAGATCTTAATTAACGCTGCGTAATTTGAACAGCGTAATACGGGTTCAACAAAGGAAACGAATCGGGCCATACATACTGATGAATTAAAAAAGAAAACAAAAAATGAGCACAACAAAGAGGTTTTACTTTTTTGTGGCATCAGATAAGACAGGGTTAAGAAGAAGCATAACGCCAACTGGTTACGACAAATCGATTGCGGCATCATCCACATTGCCAGACATATGATGGTCAGTATTGACCGATGCGACCCGGACCAAATCAGACGACCTCGTCAGCAGAACGGGCTGATGCAATCGAAACGATCGACTCCGGTCTCCGGCGCCGATGCTTAAATATGTCGCAAAATATGGGCAGACATTCCGGAACTTCCATCAAACCAACTTTGTTCAATGCTTTAGGCCAATATAATTATTATCGCTCTTGTAAAGCAAAAAAAAAAAAAAAAACGCACTCGATACTGAGGATCGAGTATCTAACAACATCTCTCCCCTACCACAAATGCCGCCTCTCTGCCCGTCTCGCTTTTTTCTCCCTACCGTCGCCCAAAGCTGTATCAGTAACCCCTTTGACAGTGTGACCGAGTTGCACCCCGGTGAACCTTTCCAGCCGGCGGCGGGCGCTGAAATGACCCGATTGAGCGGTCGTTGACCACCCGCGGGACGGCCGGCTGCTGGCGAAGGGTCGATTGATGCTGAGGTCAGTTCGGAGAGCACGGTAAGCCACTCAGCGGGTGGCGGCGGCGGCGGCGGGGCGGGGAGGGAGATGAGGCGGCCAGTGGTAGGATGGACACCGGATCGGGAACAGTGGTACACTTGGGCAGGTGGGGTTGGGCTGGAGAGTTTGTGTAGAAAATGTGACAAGCAATATGGGCAGAAATGCTGAGGGATAAAGGCCGGATGTAGGATTATCTTGAGCCAGATTGGGTCAGGTCGGGTCAGGTCAGCTCGAGTCTGGGAGGCGCGAAAGATATAAGCGAGCCAGTAGACAGTCGGTATTTCTGGTCGGATGCCAGGAGACGGAGTCCTCGCGTAGCCCACGGAACGGCCACCGGTAGAACATGGGCGTCGGCGTGCCTGTTGACGTCACCACTCTCAAGGAGTCACCTGCGTGGGTATCCACTGTACAATGTGTGTCGACGGAGGCGGACGGCAGACCGTCTCGTGACCGTCGCCCCCGCGCCCAGCCGACGGCCGCGGCGGGGGCATTCCTGGATCAATGTCGGCGCAATAAATCACCGCCGGGTGTTGGCCGGGCGAGGGCTAACGAGTTCTGAATCGGCAGAGAGGAATATGACACACGCTGCTTAAGTTCGAGAAGTAATTGAATTGCCAAAGTTTACCATGAGTGGTTTATCGAGCTCATGGGGATTCCAGTGCCTAACCAATGTCGTTTGCCAAAATGTCTTTTCCTAACAGCCGAGTGATTGATATTCGTGGCGGCAGCAGCTTCGAGGAATTGTATTTATCGCCGTGTCGTTACGGACATCGATTTGTTCACAGTGCCAGCCAGTGTGACGTTCTTGGGCGGACAGACTTTGAGAGAATTAAACCCGTGACCTCTGAAGGTCCGCGGCGGCTGGAACCTTAAACCGGCCCGGGGCAGTTGGCTCAACCATGATGAATTGGTTTACATAGATAGAAGATGGGACGTCGAGCATTTATTTAATGAAAAAAGGTAGTGTAATAACGCAATACTACTGAATCAAACATTTATAATATTGCAAACGTGTTAAAAAAGAAAAACTTTTAGCAGCAACGCCTCACTTGTTCACAAATAACTCCATCCTATTCGAGCGTCGGCAGGTAACTACTTCCGCCAGGTACGTGTTACAGTGTAACGTCGGCGGGCACTCACGTCAGGTACTTGTTGTAGTGCAGTGTCGGTACTCGGTACTCACGTCAGGTACTTGTTGTAGTGCAGTGTCGGCAGGCTGGATCGCTCCCACTCGCGCTGGTGGATCTCTCGGATTCCGTCCAGGATCTTACGTCGCTCTCCCACCTGTAATCCAGCCGTAACACGGGGTAGGGAAATATACAGGGAAAACGCCACACGGGCTCATCCTGACGGACTAGCGCTCACGTCCGGAAGCAGGCATAGAATAGGAATGTGCCGAGAAACTATCCATACACAGAGGGAATAATAAAGATGCCAGGAATGGCATGAACATTGAGCAGGGCATGAGCAAAAAATATGCTTGTTAGAAACAGTGGCACGCGGGGTATTAAATAGAATGCGTACCACAATATCGTACAAGCACCGAACACATCGGAGCACACAATCGTGGACTAAAGATCCTACGTAAAAATCAAGTCCGCCCATGATTTGAGCCGCTGAAAGCAGATCATCCATCGAATTATCACACGGCCAAAAATGTTCGTAAAACACCACAGCAAACAACAGTACCTTACACAAAAGCGATCCAGTGCCTTCCTGACCCGCCCGTCCCGAGCCAATTCTAATCTCCCGTTCCCATTCTCTCCCGTCATTGTCGGTATGGGCGGCGCACAATACGAGCACCGTCCGTCTCTGGACCGCCGCCTCCCCAATCTCCCTGTCTGGGCGGGCGCAGTGGCGGCGCAGTGGCCGTCCTACACCCCGCTGGCGGCCGCCGTCAGTGACGGGATGGAGGGGACCACCCATTACGTCCAGCGAATGGGACGGTGGGACTTACGGCGACACGGCGAGGAGTGGTATGAAGGACCACAGTGGGTCAGAACGCGGGGAGCCCGGTCCATAGCAAGGGGAGCTAGACCTGGCTCTGGCGAACAGGGAACGATGGGCAGTGCTGGAAAGAGATCCCCGTGGTGGATAGGCGTTTGTGAACTGACTGCAGCCGGCACCCGCACGTCACACTTACGGTATATCTACAGCAAACCGATCACGGAACGACGTACTGTTTTCTCTTCTGCCAAGCAACATCACTCGCTCCACAGCCGATAACTTACAAGTTTCTTTCTCCTTCCTGAGTCCTGCCTCGATCCACTCACAATCAAGCGTCCCCGGCCACCACATCCTTCAGCGTCTCACCTTCTCTATCTTCATGCGGTCGAGGTCGTCGTCGGTGAAGCGCAGAAAGGTGACGAAGCTGACGTTGTGCGCGTGGAACAGTGGGATCAGGTGCTGCAGCTCCAGTCCGGAAAGCACCATCTCCAGCTCACCGAACACGCTGCCGGACAGACAGAAATACACAGGAGATGGAGGGGGACGGACGCGAGCGGACAACAAATCTATGCTCTGATAAGCAAATAAACTGGCACTTTGACGAGCAGGGGAGACTATGCAAAGTCAGTTTCTACGTAGCAAGCTTTAGCATACACAATTTGAGGATAAATGCGTGCTCTTTGTCACTTTGACCGGGCGATCTCGTAATCAAGGTCATAGCCTATTCCCATAGTCCTGCCGAGGGAAAAAATGACATATTTCTTTTAAGCTTCGCGTGTTTTTTGTTTGCGCAAAATTCCTAGTCTACAAACCTGGTTTGCGCTATTTCCGCCTGTGATTTTTCTTTTTCCATCAGTGTTCCGAGGTCATCGGAGGTCACCGGTCCTCCCAGTGCCCGGGATAGCAGGTCACCGATCTGGAACAGTACACAACATCGGAGGTCACTGAAGGTCACTGTGTTTCCACCATACACCAACTTCTCTGAAACATGTCCGGGTTAGTGTGGTACTCTCATTTCTCACACAATTCAGACGGAATACTAAGTGAGCTCACCATCGCCTGAAGCTCTTAGTCTTCACATAAGCAAGGCGCGAAACCAGAAATTAATCGGCAGGCAAAGTATACAATATTAGGAGGAAACTCTGGCGGTGCTTTATCCAATACAAACAGATCTTGGCCAGACTGGTGTCTAACTTCCCACTAACGACCTAAGGTCAAAGGTGCCAATTAAAAGGCTAAATAACTAGCATAAACGAACTTTAGATCATGGACATGAAAAAAAAACGGAACTAATATTGCTTTATCGAGGGTCCCTCAGCAGGGGAAGGGGGGGGGAGCTCAATGCCACCTTTACACCATGCTCACTGCCCGAATCCTGTAGCTGTATCCTACACTCGTACCATACACTGCGCGTAACACTCTTACGACTCTCAAGAACACAAAAGCATCACAACTGAAAAAAACAACAACTCGACGAGAGTCTCATACAAGTCGACAAACAAGTTGACAGTCTGTTATTATTCATATTTTAGGCTAGCTAGTTTCTGCCACGGAGGGAGGGAGAGGAGGGACGAGAGAGCAGCGAGACGAGACAGGCCGAGGGGGCGCCGGGGTAACGCATCCTGTCCCTCCCTCTCTCCCTGAGACGGTTCTCAGAAAATATGTCCGAACAAGAACCGGTGATTTGGCCAATCTGTAACGGACCGCGGCGCCGGTGGCAGTGCTGGTGTGGATATCATTCTAACGATACGCAGAAGTGAGGCTCCGGCATGAATACCATCTACATGGAGAAGAGAAGGCATGGAAAGTTCGTATACAGTATACACTGTATGATTAGCATGGTACTAGGGTGACCCGCGTGCTCCGCAACGCGAAAAGGGATATTTTCGATCGGCGGGTGTTCGGTTGTTCTTGTGTCGGTTGGGTTATCTATCCATTTCGGTCGATTGCTTTTTGACGGCTAAACGTTTTGGTTTGTGGAAAAAATATCCACCGCATCGAGGTGCCCGTGTCTGATAAGCATGCTTTCCACTTCAGAATCTGTCAAATGTGCTTTATAATTGAGGTGCGTAGTTTTAAGACAAATGAAAGGCGTAGATAATTTTCGCTAAAAATCGTTTTGCAGAGGTTTAAAACATTTATATTTTTAAGAATACTGTTGCTTGTCATGCAAACGTGATGATTGGATCTTGGAGAGAATTGAATGCTCTTTCTAATGATAGCATTTTCAATTATCAAGCGTATCAGGTTAAGCAGCAAATCCCGTGTATCTTTTTAGTGGCACATTATGGACAAATACCATTTTAATTCAGCGATTTTTCCACATTGTTTTTGATCAATTAGCTGTCCACAATTTTTCCATGAGAGGCGGTACATTTCTCTTGGCAATTGACGTTGTTTCAACTCTCTCAGTCTGATGGTCACGGGAAAATAAAATAAAATCCAAAATCCGTTTAAAATGACACTTTTTGAAATGAAATTGCCCTCACACTTGCACGTGGCGCGTGCCACCCCTGCACCGCACACTATTCGATTGCCCGTTCGATTCTCTACACGATGCTGTTTTCCCCGTGCCGATCGGGCGCACGGCTACCGAGATATTGCATGGGGAACGGACCCGTGTCGGGCAAATTTAGCCATTTTCGCCCGTTTTTGCCAGCCGATTTATACATGTAAAGTCTATGACGCGAATTTGCACTTTTTGGGCACGCGCCACGCGCTCGCTATCGATCCGATCGAGCCGAGACCGCTCAAAGGCACGTTGTCCATCCTTGTTCTATAACTTGCGCAAATTTCAGCGCGGTAGGTGCAACGGTGTGACCTGTAACCCGCGCTACGTAGCACCATGTCGCGACCTTCGTAATAGACAGAAACTACGCCTTCCTCAAATAGTAATATAGACAAGCGGCTGCGCCACTTGCTTTGCTGCGTGGTAGGAAAAAATTGCAGCACCAGCCAATTTGCTTTCGAATGGTGTTTGATTCATGTCGATGTGTCGTCTAGAAGCATAGATATGGACGGAAATGTGAAGAGAATTTAAAAAGAGCTGTTCTGAGGGCGTTGTTGGATGAAATTTGGGTGATACGGGGTCAAGACGGGTCAAAGGGGTCAGCCCCGGTCACTTTGGGTCAGGCCAGGTCACATAGGTCACCTCTCGTCCGCTGGGATCAGCCCGGGCCACTGTTCTGCTTTTGCCTCCACCACTACCCCTACCCCTACCACTACCCCTACCACTACCCCTACCACTAACCCTACCACTACCCCTACCCCTACCACTACATCTACCCCTACCCCTACCACTACTACTACCCATACTCCTACCCCTACCACTACCCCTACCACTACCCCTACCACTACCCCTACTACTACCCCTACTACTACCCCTACCACTACCCCTACCCCTACTACTACTCCTACCACTACCCCTACCCCTACCACTACACTACCCCTACCATTACCCCTACCACTACCCTACCCCTACCAACACCGCTGGGTCATGTCAGGTCACAGAATAATTGGATCCAATCAGTGCTAAAATATCAGGCCTAAAGTGTTCTCAGCCCTGTCCCTATTCGTGCCATTCCATTACCCTTACTCGATTTTGTCGGAAATGGCGCTTTGTGGCAAATGTGGCGCATTGCGGCAAATGTGGCGCATCTGTACCTGTTGGTTGAGCATGCATCCAGGCACCAAATTGCACCCATATCGGACCATATTTGACAAAGCTGTGCGATTTGCGGCAAAAATGACGCCCTGAGATAATTGTGGCTCATTGCGGCAAACGCGGTGCATTTGTAAACTCGTATCACAAACTGTTTCCATCGAACGAAAATTAACACATTTTTCGCCACTTTTCATTCAAATTAAAACCTGCCCATCCTTCAATGCGAGGCACCCGCCACCGATCGGCATGCATTTAGTCCACAAAGTTTGTCGACCCCGGCTCTCAATGAAGATCTACGAACCGATCAAAATTTCATTGGCGTTCTTCCAGCGCGCCCCACGCGCGAACCGTGCACCCCAGCGAGCCGAAACCTAGAAAAGGCACTGACCCGTTCTGTCACCTATAAGGTGTGCAAATTTCAACCCCCTACGATATACCGTCTGCCCTGTAGGCCGGCTAAATTGAACCCACTACACGGAGTGGCGGACAAACAAACAGACAGATGGATCCTGTTCAAATAGTAAGATAGACAAGCGGCTGCGCCACTTGCTTTGCTGCGTGGTAGGAGAAATTGCGGCACCAGCCCATTTGCTTTCGAATGGTGTTTGATTCATGTCGATGTGTCGTCTAGAAGCATAGATATGGACGGAAATGTGAAGAGAATTTAAAAAAGAACTGTTCTGAGGGCGTTGTTGGATGAAATTTGGGTGATACGGGGTCAAGACGGGTCAAAGGGGTCAGCCCCGGTCACTTTGGGTCAGGCCAGGTCACATAGGTCACCTCTCGTCCGCTGGGATCAGCCCGGGCCACTGTTCTGCTTTTGTCTCCACCACTACCCCTACCCCTACCCCTACCACTACCCCTACCACTACCCCTACCACTACCCCTACCACTACCCCTACCCCTACCACTACTCCTACCCATACTCCTACCCCTACCACTACCCTACCACTACCCCTACCCCTACCCCTACCACTACATCTACCCCTACCCCTACCACTACTACTACCCATACTCCTACCCCTACCACTACCCCTACCACTACCCCTACTACTACCCCTACTACTACCCCTACTACTACCCCTACCACTATCCCTACCCTTACTACTACTCCTACCACTACCACTACCCCTACCCCTACCGCTACCACTACACTACCCCTACCACTACCCCTACCACTACCCCTACCCTACCCCTACCCCTACCAACACCGCCGGGTCATGTCAGGTCACAGAATAATTGGATCCAATCAGTACTAAAATATCAGACTTTAAGTGTTCCCAGCCCTGCCCCTATTCGTGCCATTCCATTACGCTTAATCGTATTTGTCGGAAATGGCGTTTTGTGGCATATGTGGCGCATTGCGACAAACGCGGCGCATTTTCACCCGGCGATTGAGCATGTATCTTGGCACCAAATTGCACCCATATCGGACCATATTAAACTGTGCGATTTGCGACGAAGATGGAGCCTTGTGACCAATGTGGCGCATTGCGGCAAACTCGGTGCATATTTATTCTTGTATCATAAACTGTTTCCATTGAATGAAAATCAACACATTCTCTCGCCACTTTTTATTCAAATTAAAACTTGCCCATCCGCCAATGCGAGGCACCCGCCACCGATCGGCATGCATTTAGCTCACAAAGTTTGTCGACCCCGGCTCTCAATGAAGATCTACGAACCGATCAAAATTCCATTGGCGTTCTTCCGGCGCCCGCCACGCGCGAACCGTGCATCCCAGCGAGTCGAAACCTAGAAAAGGCGCTGACCCGTTACGTCACCTAGAAGGTGTGCAAATTTCAACCCCCTACGATATACCGTCTGCCCTGTAGGCCGGCTAAATTGAACCCACTACACGGCGTGGCGGACAAACAAACAGACAGATGGATCCTGTTCAAATAGTAAGATAGACAAGCGGCTGCGCCACTTGCTTTGCTGCGTGGTAGGAAAAAATTGCGGCACCAGCCAATTTGCTTTCGAATGGTGTTTGATTCATGTCGATATGTCGTCTAGAAGCATAGATATGGACGGAAATGTGAAGAGAATTTAAAAAAGAACTGTTCTGAGGGCGTTGTTGGATGAAATTTAGGTGATACGGGGTCAAGACGGGTCAAAGGGGTCAGCCCCGGTCACTTTGGGTCAGGCCAGGTCACATAGGTCACCTCTCGTCCGCTGGGATCAGCCCGGGCCACTGTTCTGCTTTTGCCTCCACCACTACCCCTACCCCTACCACTACCACTACCCCTACC